ACGACAAAAAATTCAGAACAAAACCCATTTAAGTAAAACAGATTAAAATCACATCAGTGTCAAATGGGCCAGGAAAAAGCTCGAGCCAAGGTTCTGGCCAAGCTCAAATTTTGGGCGACAACCCTAGCCTGTGGCTGGCCAGTGTGCCCGTGCGGCTCGACGAGAAATGGCCATGTAGTGCTTGCTTTTTGCAAGTTTTGCACCTGCAGTTGCGATGATGGGAGTTTTCCGGTCTCTTTGCAAAGAGAACTCTGTGCCAAAAAGACACAGTGTACAGCCCCAATCTTCAGCTTCTTTACCCGATATCCAATTTATTTTGCTATAATTTTTCAATTTTAATTGTTCAAAAATAGTTACAAATGAATTTTACTAATGATGATCTTAACCAATTTAGGGGTAATTCGAGTATTCCGTCCAACTATGATACATTTGAAAATGTTCCAATTAACTTGAAGGATATCCAAGAAGTATTCAAAACAAAAGGTTAAATATGCTTAAAATTTGAGAATATGTGGAATTACATTTTCAAGAAAAAATTGACAGTATAATGGCCAAAGAGTTACGGTAGATCAAATGATAGGATTTTTTAACTTTTTAAAAATTCATTTGTTGATTTAATTATACAATTTTCAAATTTATTTGTTTTTAAAAAAATTTATACAATAAGTATTTTATTCATGTACAATTTTAATTCCATCATCTATGTTGATCATAGTCGATCCCAAGTCCGAAAAGATAAGGAGTGTTATAACTTTTAATTAATTTGCAATTAGAATAAATATAGAAAATTTACATTGTTAAAAATAATTTAAAATTTCACGATTTTAAAAAACAAATTGCGAGCGGCCCGGCTCCCCTCGATGATGCCCAAGCTAAAAGCTTGAGCCAAGCCACAGAATTTTGGAAAAACGCTCAAGCCTTTTTATGTTGGGTCACGCACAAGCCATGGACAGACCCAAGGGGGGTCCTGGGGGAAGGTGCCCCCAACTTTTGAGATTCTTTTTTTTTTTTTTTTTTTATTTTCTTTTTTTTTCTTTTTAAATTTGAATTTT